GATATACAGATGATACCACTCTGATGGCAGAAAGTGAGGAGGAAATAAGGAACCTTGTAATGAGGGTGAAAGAGGAGAGTGCAAAAAATGATCTGAAGCTCAACATAAAAAAAAAAACCCTACGATCATGGCCACTGGTCCCAGCACTTCCTGGCAAATAGAAGGGGGAGAAATGGAGGCAATGATAGATTTTACTTTCTTGGGCTCCATGATCATTGCAGATGGTGACAGCAGCCACGAAATTAAAAGACACCTGCTTCTTGGGAGGAAAGCAAAGACAAACCTTGACAGCATCTTAAAAAGCAGAGACATAGCCTTGCCAACAAAAGTCCGAATAGTCAAAGCTATGGTTTTTCCAGTACTGATGTACAGAAGTGAGAGCTTAACCATAAAGAAACCCGACCGCCGAAGAATTGATGCTTTTATTTATTTTATTTATTGCATTTATACCCCGCCTATCTAGTCAAACGACCACTCCACCATATATAACAACATATAAAATATAACAAAATTTTTAAACATCAATAGACAAGTTATTCAAGATGGAAAAAGAGAGAGAGAAACATATAAGAATAAAAAGAAATCAAGATTTTTAATTGTGGTGCTGGAGGAGGCTCTTGAGAGTCCCCTGGACTGCAAGAACAAACCTATCCATTCTAAAGGAAATCAACCTTGAGTGCTCACTGGAAGGACAGATCTTGAAGCTGAGGCTCCAATACTTTGGACAGTGTCATCGAAACTACCAACATGAATTTGACCCAACTCCAGGAGGCAGTGGAAGACAGGAGGGCCTGACATGCTCTGATCCATGGGGTCATGAAGAGTCGGACACGACTAAATGATTAAACAACAAAAATGTAAGAACCCTTCCTGCAGTCCTAGAAAGCTGCTGCCAATTTAGAGTTCATGATCTTGAGTTAGATGGACCAGTGGTCAGATTCAGAAGCAAATTTCTTTGTACTTATGCAGTGGCCTTCTCAAGGGAAGTTAATTCATTGTCAGAAAGTTACTTTTTTGGACAACAATGTTCAGATTCCCTGCACAAATATGTTTTAAAGGGGTTGTCAGTGCTGTGTAGGACTTAATGCCAGTTATTCAACAAGCAAGCAGAACATGGAAGGTGTGACTGTGTGCAGCTGTGCTACTTTCTGGCTCTCCATGTAAAGGGAAACAAAGGGCTTGAAACCCTGGGACAAGGATGTTACCAAGTGTTCAGTTTTTCTGTTTTTCTGGGTCTTTTTTTAAAAAATAAAAAAGAGGCTTCACCTGCAACAAGGTTCCATATTATGATATCACTCCAGCTGCATAATGATTTCCAGATGTTAGGGAAAGTTTCAAATGCTTTCAAAAACAAAAGGTGGGGACAGAGCACAAGATGCACAAGAAAGGAAATAGTGAGAGAAAACATGTCAGAATTCTGAATTGCCTGACTCCTAAAGAAAGCTAAATTTGTTTTCCTTATTTAAGCGCTTTGAAGCTTTGATCTATAAGACACTTAACAGTGTCAGGACAGGAGTTATCGGATACCAGTGTTATTGGCAATAAGGACAAAGAGGAGAAAGAAAAGGAACAGACTGTACACCTGAAAAATAATGTATGCCTTTATGTACATTTCCTTTAGCTAATGCCATTAATAGTAGCTTAAACAATATATCAAGCCACTGGTGTATTTTTTTTAAAGGATTTGGAATCATATCCTGAAAGTGGAGCAGATACCTCTACACTGAGCCATCAGCAAACAAACATACCACCGCCACCTCCTCCTCCTCCCTGTGGTGCTGACCAAGCATTTCCTATACCAATGGCTGGATCTGGAGCAAAACCAAAAAGTGGGGTGAGTTTACAGATTATTCTTATATGCTCCAAAAGTTTTGATATCAAGAGACTAGAAATAAGAAAGTGGCTAGGCCTATTGTACATGGGGATATGGACTAGAGTGTCTTACTTTGTCTGTTGTTTGTACGGAATATATTCTGAAAAGCTTGGAAAATTCACTTGGAGAAGTCAATGTTTTGGGCTGCAATTCCCAGAATACCCCAGGCGGCCATACTGGGTGGGCGTTCTGTGAGTTGCATTCTCCAAAAAAGTAACTTGTCCAAGCTCAGCTAGGAATGCTCTGGAGAAAACTGATGATACTAACTCCTCATTTATTACTATATTTTTCATGAAACCTATGGAACAGTATGTTTTTCATTAAAGTAGGGGTCATTTCCTGGGATGTACGATGTAATCATTTTTCACACTAGATCTCGTCATTAGAAATATGTTCCTGTTCATGATTAACAACCTCGTCATTTCACAGAGCAGACTGTGGGTGAGACTACGTATAATGTGGGAGAGTTGTGTGTTATCTGTATCGGCAGTAAGAAATACCCAGAATTATAGAACAGGGCTGGACATGACGGATGTTTGTGTCCCTCTTTCTTCATCTGAACAGTTTGGTTCCATATTGCCTTGTTTCTCTTTAAATTGCACTAGTGTTTTCCAGCACTGCTAAAACTCCATGCCTCCATTGTCTTTAAGTTGCATGGTCTTCTACCATATGAAAATGGTGAAAATAATGTACAGTAGTTCTTAGTGGAGTACAAGCAAAACAAAATAATTTATGCTTTGCAGGTCTTTGTGAATGTTGGTGGGAGAGCACACCAAAGCAGGAACTGCCAGTGTTGCTTTTACCTTGGATTTCTTAGCTTTGATATACAATTTTATGTTATTACACTATAATAATAATTTAGTGATAATACAAAGGAGTTTAGCAATAACATTTTATCAACTAACAGAGCTGATCTCTACGATTATGTGTGGCCACATTTCTGTGCATGCCTTTTGATTCTGAGTGTATATGAATATACTCTCTTGGGAGGAGCAATTCATCAAGGTCCATAGGGGAAAATGAGGGGAATTACTAGGCCAGCAGCTTAAGCTGAGTCACATTCTGGGCCTCAAAAGTGAACATGTCTAACTGTAAACTATACTGGAACATATCATATCTCTTTGCCAAGACATTTGTTGCCCATCGTGTTTCAAATGGAATATTTATAATCAGACAAGCGCACATACATTCTCTGCACGCGTCCCTCAGGGGGCATTCTATATTACATACCTCCTCACTGCTAGACTTGGCATGACTTCTGAAGTCAGTTTTCTATCCTGAAGAGAAGAGTGTGCCTGTCTCTCTACCGGTCTCCACCAAACTCCAAGACTATGGAGCCTAGGCACCAAAACATGGAGATCCTGAGGGATGCATCTTTGTGTTATTTTGTCACCATGCTCCTCAAAAATAAGAGGACTTCTCAGGAGCTGAAAGCAGAAAACCATGAGGTTTACTCCAAATACTTCCAGCTGGTTTTTGAGGGTGCTACCACCAGTCCACTTCTCTTCCGGGCATCCTCACTGCTACAATAACACAGACTCCTATGTGGCCCAGCTGCCTGATGTACCTTATTAATGACTGTTTGGGTGAGCAGGTGTGTGCATCTATATCTATATGTAAGGAACGAATGGGACTATAAATTCTTGTTGCCTGTTGTGTGGAGAAGAAAAAGGAGGCAGTAAAGAGGGGGAAGTTAAATGACTGGTGGAGTGGACAGAGAAAAAACTGGGAAAGAGAAATAGTGGAATATAATTTTGCTGTACTAGGCAGGGTTTTATTTGAATTGTAGCTATTCTATGCATATTTCCACCATCAGCTGGTCTGGATTGCCATGTTTCATTAAAAAGGAACAAGATGTATCTGAACTGTACAGCTTTATTAGTTTTTAGTGGTCATTGTTCATCCTCAATTATTGAATTTGTATTGTATTGATGCACTTAGAAGACAACAAGGTACCCTGAGAAGAGAGAAACTAAGGATTTAATCAGTTTAATTCTTTAATGTACAGAGGAACTTCGAATAACTTAAATCAGAACTGACAGGGCGAAGTTACATGCCTTGTACTGTGAGTCTAAGGTTTTATGTTGCTGTTGACTGTTTACTGCATTGATATGATAGTATAAAAATAACTTTTACACTAAGTTGTTCAGCAAAGACAATTCTCTTTTTTATCTGTGTGCACCTACATTAAAACAAACGAACAGGGATATTACCCAAAGAGACAAATCCTTTGATTTAAAGGAAAATATTATAACTCAAACTATAACTCCCAAAGCAAATAAATTCAGATCAGCCTCCTTCATTATTCTAAGCATGGTAAACACAATAGGTGAGCACATTCTTTGATTTCCTAAGGGGGAAACAAAACCTTTGCTAACTTAGAATTCAGTCCATTAAACACAAAGTTCCTTCCTTCAAATACAGAAGAGTTGGGATGGACTAGTAGAAGACCGTCCTACAAATCTGTTGTTTGCTGGTGTTGATATTATTGAAGCCTGTGATTCATTTCAGCATTTCCATATAGGATTTGCATAATGAGCAAATAAGGTACGTAGTAGTAAATGTGTGTGCCTCAGTTTGGAGACATAGAACCCTGAGACTTGTGGAAAGGCTGAATGACTATACTGTAAGTGAAAGGAAAGAATTATTATTCGGGGGAAAAGAAAAAGAGTGGGGAAATATACCCTGTTTTCCCCAAAATAAGACCTAACCTGAAAATAAGCCCTAGTATGATTTTTCAGGAGGCTCGTAATATAAGTCCTACACCAAAAATAAGCTCCAGTTAAGTGAAACCCCGCCTTACACCATTGTGCAGCAACCAGAAGATGACATGACTGTATTTGAATAAATGTAGATTGTTGTACATGGAAAAAAACATCCCCTGAACTATTGTAGACTGTTCTAAAGAATGTATTCGCGAAGGCTTTCACGGCCAGGATCTAATGGTTGTTGTGGGTTTTTCGGGCTCTTTGGCTGTGTTCTGAAGGTTGTTCTTCCTGACGTCAGGAAGAACAACCTTCAGAAACGTCAGGAAGAACAACCTTCAGAACACAGCCAAAGAGCCCGAAAAACCCACAACAACCATTGTTCTAAAGAATCTGCATATGATGAAATGGACTGTCCACAAACTGTGTGACAGTAACTTTGTAGGACTCTATCGTGTCAACTATGTGCTGCAACAGTTTAAAACTGGTGTGTCTTAGAGGTTAATTAGCAATGTTTCTTGCTTTTGGCCTCTTGTAAGTTAGGTGCCACAGCTGTTCTGTACAGGCGAACTATTAAGGTGGTTAAATGCTTGTTTTCATAATTTCTTCAAAGTGATGTCAAAGAAATGTTGCAGTGAAAAAGTTATTCTTTTAATTGTATTTTAATTGTATTTTAATTGTTGTAAGCTACCCAGAGACCTTTGGGTAGAATGGGCGGCATATGTGTTTTTGCAGCAAAAATTAATATAAGACTCTGTCTTATTTTCGGGGAAATGCGGTAATAGAAGAAGGACTTTCTAACCTAATGAAAGAAAGTACATCTGAATGAATACTAGGCAGGAGAGTAAGAAAGATTGATAGAAAAGAAAGTGTGTGGGGTAGAGAAAAGGGGCAGTACACTGGAGTAATAATAGGACTGATGAATTTTTAACCTGGACAGATCTAGATACTTACTCTAATCATGACTAAAAGTGATGCTGTTCTTCATGTGAAGTGCTGCAGCATACTATAGTACAAACCACAATTGCCATATACTAAATAATGAACTAGGGTGCAATAAATTAGGAACTTACTTTTGATTATATAACACCTATCATCCTGTAATAAGATGTATTTGCTATAATTTTCATTCAGAAGGATACATTTCCTATGATTATTCCAATTTGAAACTCCAAGCAGAATTTGACCAAAAGTGTGTGCTCAAAGTTGATAGATTCTGGGATTGCAGAATATTCGTTGTTCTATTAAGATTGATACAGGACTCCAAGCATGTTTGGAAATCTCAACTAATGTGATCATTTCGCCCACCACCTTACAACAGAGGAATTTCTAGAGATGGCACATCTCACTGGATTCTGTTTCTTTCAATGCTTGTTTACTATACTGTATCTCCTTTCTTCTTTTACCAACATCAAGACTGAACTGAAGCATGCACAGGGTTCCCAGTGGTTCTCCCAACCACAGGGGCCTCGATTCTGCAATGTTGCTGCACCTTGCAGATGATAAATGTTGTATGCTAGCCAAATGAGTAATGGAGATGGACATTTCAGTACATTTCAAAAAAGGAAATCCACATCTGCCCAAGCTTTTTGAAAAAGTGTTTGAAACGGAGTCATGTGCTGCTGCCAGTTCTGGAATACATCTGCATGTGGCAGTAAGACCTTGCACATCTTTAACAAACCTGTCCGTTTTGAAGGAAATCAACCTTGAGTGCTCACTGGAAGGACAGATCCTGAAGCTGAGGCTCCAATACTTTGGCCATCTCATGAGAAGAGAAGACTCCCTGGAAAAGACGCTGATGTTGGGAAAGTGTGAAGGCAAGAGGTGAAGGGGATGACAGAAGATGAGATGGTTGGGCAGTTGCTTGGGCTAGGCATTTATTTATTAGGATAACATTGTAACAATCACGAGAAACATCTTAGTTACAGCATATGAGGGCCTGATAAAAAAAATACTACACTCACAATGAATTTAAATAAATAGATACCCAAGTGGTTAATTCTATTTTGATGCGAGGTAACGTACACAACAAATTTGGACCAGAGTAAATATGGGTGCTATAAAATCTATAGGTACAGTACATAGTATTTACTATTATGAGCAATCAAATGGATTCCAACTTGTGGCAAATTCTGCCAGGATATCCTAGATGTAAACTACTCAGAAGTATTTTACAAGTCCCTTCTTCTCGTAGCATTCTGTGACTGTGCAGCTCAAGCAAGGATACACTTTACTTTAATTAGATTTATACCCCGC